GCAGAAACTGGTGTAACAGGACCAACGCTAACTCCTTTCGATGAGGAATGTTTGACTTTGGTTGTGTGTGGCACAGTCTGTTGCTTGAGGGTATCCTTAATTAAAAAGAAATGTCGAACCTTGTGATTTGAGGGCGACCATTAGTTGACCACGGCGTACAGCATACTTTTTATTTTATCCGATCTCTAGCACATACCTGTGGCACTTCAACTGTCACTCCAGAATACGCTGGAGTGCTTAGAATTGTCGGAACTGTTGTGGACGCAGACTGTACATTATAATCTGGTGGAAGTGCAGATTCAATTGAAGGGACTGATTGTAGCACATTTGTCGTCGTGGTGTCATGTACAGTGGGCAAGGCTGCTGATGGTGTTGACTGAGGATCAGCCGATTGGGCTCTTATTCTAGAACTTTTCACAATTTTCAATACAACTGGTTTATATGTCTCATTCAAAGCTGAAAGTTCCTGTTGTGATGCAAAAACTGGTGTAACAGGACCAACGCTAACTCCTTTCGATGAGGAATGTTTGACTTTGGTTGTCTTTAGCACAGTCTGTTGTAAACGTCGACTTATTTTTTGTATTTGCATCTTTTCATCGTTCATTTTTCACACTCAACGCTCGTAGCAGGTCTTTCTCACAAAAATTCGAATCAGTGAGTAACGCATCGTTTTCTGTTTTTCAATTATTTTGTTTGATTTTGTTCTTTCATGTATGGCTTTAGTTAATTTTGTTGACGTTTGATTTTTTATTAAAGAAAATGAGTTTTTGTTGAAGGGTTTCATGTCCTGTTTTGATCTTTTGGTTGTTCATGCACAATGCGAAATGACTTCAAGCAGTTCCGACGCTGATTTTGAATATCAATTTAAATTTAGAAAAAAATCAAAGTTGACGGTCAAAATTGAAATTTAAACATTCTGAAACCTTTATTTTCGACTACCTGACCTAGGTATTTTTGTCAAAAAAATTAAAATACACACCATCGGATAGAGAATTTAATTCTCTATAGAATGGCTCATTTTGTTTTGAGATTTGCAAGCTTACAGTACGTTTTGGTTTTTGTAAAACCAGATTTTCAAACTGTTTTTTATCCAAGTCGGATCACTTAGAAAACGTTTTCTATATTGCATCCAAAAGACCAGATTGAGTAGTTCCTAGTTCTATAAAAGGTAGTTTTCTCTGACGACTTTGGAATGGAGTCTATAGTCTTACAGAATATAGATACAGAACAGTGAATTTAGTTTTGTAGTTTACTACAACGCTAAGTTCACGTGTTCGAATCTCTGTTCGTACAAAATTGATTTTGTGTTTTTCGATAGTTTTAGTTTAGAATACTATAATGGAATATTTTCCGCTTGTATTCTGGCAGAATAAAGCTTATATCAATGGAGTCTAAGCTTCTGACTTGAAAAGGCAAAAAAAGTGGAATTCCCTCACGACGTATATTTTGGATTTTTAATTCGAAAGGATGGCTTTAGTGAAAACCAAGTAGATACTCTGAAAGTCTGTTAAAAAAATATACAATTTTAGTGGAACACATTCCTCTAATAGTTCTCAGCATTGGCGACACAACAGTTACTGTTGATGGCTCATTGAACGAATAGGGTTTCGATGAGAAGAACACATAAATACGTATAAGATCCAGTTTCAGTTCGGAAACTGAAATAACGACAATTAGTGTACGCAATACTTTATGACAACTAAGGTGCATTTATTGATAATACTGCATCATTTGATAATGCGGCTAAACCATGCACAGTAGGCACCTTTCCGTAGGGTAGGCGGACATACGGTTTTTTAACTTAAGAAGTGGTCATTTTTACTCAATAATACTTTCGTGGGTCGTAGGACCTGGTCGAAAAAAACTTTTCTCGTTCTAAGTAGATGGAAGTGTCTAGATACAAAATATATATAGACCTTCAAATTTAAGTATATTTAATCCAATACAAATACAATAAATAAATTTTTAGCTAACAATTTTTAGCTGATAAATTTTTCCAAAACATAAATATAAAAACTACTAGGAGAGGCCAAAAACTTTCAAAATTAAAAAAACTCGTTCGGACGTCTGGATTTGCTGGACTCAGTTTACCCGATCCTGTCGCACTGCGCGCCACGATTTACGGAAATGGGCAATAAAGAAAGCCAGAGAAATAGAAGATCAATCCTTTGTCGCAAGTACCTTTTGGGTGCATTCTTTCAAACGCCGCCACTGCGCCTTCTTTACTAAGCCGTGGAAACGGTGGTGGAGCTGCAACTGAAGGTAACAAGCGATAACTGTAACAGAAAGGCTTTAATCTTATAGTATAAAATACGTTTCTCACCGATAGTTTTTGCTGGTTTAGGTGCATCAGTGCTTTTGTGCGCCGTTCTGGAAAATGTTTGTGCTGCAAACATGAGAGCATCTGAACGTGCATCTAAATCATCGTGTTTCTCACCACGCTCTAATAGATACTACACATGTTGGTTTTTAGGTTAATTTTGAGAAAATTAATTTTCTCAACAACGAAGCAATATTTTCCAAAATCGATACGTAGCTTTTTTCATGCCGATGTGGCAAGGCCAATGATGGAAACATTCTGGCTTTATCTCATATCTAAAAGGACTTGATGTATTTGCGGTAACGGGGTGTCAAAACGTCCGAGGACGAACTTAGTCCTTTCTGTTTGCAGACACCAGAACGATGAACTAGTGTCAAACCCGCAAGGATATACTCACCTTTTTATGCTGAACCCGAATAAAATAGTTTCGAAAAGCTATTTTCATATATATATATATGTATATATTCCCATTCAGGGTGAACGGAAAACGGTTAAATCTTGATGCTTTTCTAGAACGCTCACTTTTTCTCTTTTTGTGACTGTTGCGGTATTTTGAAGATGTCTTCCCCAAAAAATTTGATCAAAACGCGATAAAAAGGCGATATTCAAAATCAGCTCGACGGGCTCATTGACCTCATTTCGTGCAAGTTGTCTCTCGCAAAGAAACACATAGCTGTGAGTGAAAATGTTTAATACGATGCTGTTTCCTTTGTCATGTTTATCTCTGGTATCTTCGTTCTAGTTGCGTGTCAGATATATAGAAATACTTGAAGATGGCAGAACACATTCAAAATAAACGTGTCGCCATATACGTGTACAGCTATATACTGTCAAAGCGATAACATTGCTCGATAAAACAAGATCATCCAGAGCTCTCTGGCATTTAATTAGACTGATGACGGGTCCTCGCCAAGTGATTAATAGCTTTTTCAACGATATTTTATATAGATAGGGGGTACTATTCTGATGAAAAATTTAACAGAGTTTCTGCTCATGAGTCTTTCTCGCCAGTTCTAAAGTTCGTCGTTTCGTGGTTTTTCTATAAACACAATTATTTAAATTTACTAGAATATCATTTATTAAATTGAAATACATGTTGGAAAATTTGGTGATCAAAAGCATCTTTGTTTGGTGATCATTTATATGTAAACATGTTTAGTGTACAGGATGAAGCTGATAAAATACAGTAAATATATTTAAAAATAATCTTGCTAATGCTTTCTCTTTTAATAAATTTCAGCTACAAACCGACTTTTTGTTACTTTGTCCCTGATAATCTCTATTACTAGCCATGTGGTAACATGTACTGTATTGCTGCTTTCGAAGAGAATGTGTGGACTAATCAGACGTTTCTGTCAGAAGAATACTCTTGTCCCAATTGGTCTAGTGGTTAGGATTCCGCCCTTTCACGGCGGCGGCCCGGGTTCGATTCCCGGATTGGGAAGGATTTGTTTTTATTTCTTTTTCTTCTTTCTATTATCGTGCGTCATAAAAACAATAGTCATCGTGCATGTTGTGCTAGATCGCTTTCGCGTACTTTATTTTCAACGAAACAGAACTGAACCAAGAGAGAGTTTTTGCGATAATAGTCATTTTATAGAGCGCATGTACACATTTCTAATCGTCATTTGACCAGTATTGACGTTCACGAGCGACTTTTGAACGTAAGTGGCGGTGGTGTCCTATTTGGAACGACTTTTTTTTTAAGGAAGTAGTTTTACATGGCCACGGAGGACCTTTTTTGATACAAATCAGTCATGTTTTCCTTATGAAAACGATTCTGACAACGAAGAATCTGAGAATGACGCAGACTATTTAGAAAACGAAAACAAAGAAGACGCGTTGTTGCACCAATTCTCCGTCGATTATATGAAAAAAGTAGTCGCTTATTATGATGAAACGGACGAAACTGCTAAGAAAAAGCATAGTTGGCATAGTGTTCAGCATACGTTTAGAACCGTAAAACAACGAAATTATATCGAGAGATTTCGTAAATACGTTGAATTCAGTGGAACAAAAAAAACAGAGACTTGAAGAGATTGACTCGTATGTCTACGGCTGTTTTGAAAATGCTCGCGCACAGTTTCTGTCTGTGCATGAAATCGATTTACGGAAATAGGCAATAAAGAAAGCCAGGGAAATAGAAGATCAATCCTTTGTCGCAAGTACCTTTTCGGTGCATTCTTTCAAACGCCGCCACGGCATTTGCGGCCGAAAAGTTGGTCTCCAAGAGTGAAGTTGCAACAAAGAACAAATTGATAAATCCGGGTAACCATATTTCGTCAACAGGACATTCGCCAATGGCGAAAGTACAAGCGGTGTATTGAGCAAAATACAGTAGACATTCGTCAGCTGTCATGAAATAATATTAGCATAGGATACATGTGAGGAGTGGAGTGATCACAGTAATAATCTAGATAGATCTGTAAGAGAAGCATCTACCATTATCAATGGTCGAATTTCCAAAGCCAGACCCAATTGAATTTTGAGTCTGAATGCAATTAAAAATCGTTTTTATATTCAGTTTTTAATGTTGAACCCGAAAATATAGTTTAAAAAGGTAAAAGGAACTCTGAACCGAGACAGCTTGAATTGTTTGAAAATGAACGGTTTTTCAAAATAATAGGTTCTTCAAGTATTTTTAATTTTTCGACCTTAAAACAACTTTTTCAGAAGTTAAAAATCACTTTGTCTTACTAAGCTGATTGCACTCTATCCAACCATGTATAAAGTGATCAGAAAAACGTTTTTATTTGAATTTCGAATTGCCGGCATCTTACAGAAAAGCTAAGAAAAAATAAAGAATACCAAAATCAAGATAATCAAATTTTCACCCTGATTTTGGTACCAAAGAACTATAGAATTTATATAAGATGTTGCAATCTATTAAGTCATTGACGTAAAACACAGGGTTTAAGCTGCCATTTACAATACTTGGGCAAAGCAAACTGCTTTTCAACAACTTATTCTAGAACTTGTTATTAGTTTGCATTAAATCGTTCAGATAGGTCAATATTTGACGTCAAATTCAGCCACGCTAATATATGATATGCAAAATAAGGGCTAATAAGAATTTCATCAATTTTACTTTTGAGGTAAAATCTCATTTGAAATGATAAACTCGCTATCTACTGTGGAATTTCGACAAAATGCAGAAATTCCGATGGAATTTGTGAAATTTTAGAGATTATTTTGGAATTTGGACAGCGTTATCGAAATTCCGCAAATTTTTGGAATTTTGACAAAGCCTTCGAAAATCCAACAGCGTTAAAAGTAATATCATG